AACAGAAGGGAAAGACCAGGAGCACCAGCAGAGGACCCACGAAGAGCAGAATCCCATCTGCTCTGTGCAAAACCATTGCAAACAGCGGATAAGTATGACATGTTGAGTCAATCGACTGGTATAGGTAGGAGGGTAAGGGGGTAAAAAAAACTTGTTGAAAACACAAGTGGTATGTGTAGCACTTATTGATACTATGTAACAGGGGGATTTGAACATACATGACTTACATGATTTGTCATGTTGACAAGTAACTTGGGGTTCGATGATGGTCGTAATGGGGCAGTCTGCCAGCCATTAGTGGTTGATAGGGTCCCAGCTTGTTGGTTGGTTGTTGATGGTGGTGATCTTAGGATCTGGACCATTCTGCTTCCATGTGTTGCGTATGGTTGGAGGTGGGTTGGTGGGAGTCCGCTGATAGGATCTTCCAAACTTTCAAAAGGTTCGATGCCTTCTTCAAAAGATTTAATTGTAAAGAACCTTCCTTGTTGTTTAACAATGACCTTTGTGCGGAAACCCCATTGGTAGCCAATTCAGTGGTTCCACAGCGCTTTTGTTATGGTGACAAGCTTCTTACGGTTTAGAAGAGTGGCTTTAGATAGGTCTGCAAATAATTTTATATTTGCTTGGTCTGGCGGTAGTCATGCAATGTTTCTCGTGGTTATCGTAATTTTTTCTTTCACATGGTAAAAGTGGATGCGTGCCAGGATGTTCCTAGAGACTGCGGCCGGTAGGAACAATGGTTTTGGTAATCTGCGCACACGATCTATAACGAGCTCTACATATGATAGGGAAGGAATGAGGTGTTTTATGTATTGTTGTAAATATGGTTCTATGGTTACCAAATTGATGTTTTCTAGGATTGCGTGGAATTTGATGTTGTTCCGCCTAGATCGGTCTTCAGAATCCGCTAGTTTGAGGATAATCTGTTCTATGTCGGTGCCCTGGTCGGTGTATGCGTCTATTAGGTCGTTGTGAGCTGCGAACATTTCCCCCATTTTATTTTCAATATGGCAGATACGGTGGTCCTGTCGTTGTACTGCGGTTGAAATTTGCGATAGTGTCGTCGTCAGGTCATCATGTAATATTTGTCACAGTGAGAGAAGCATACTGTTCATAGACAGTTCAGTGATAGGTTGGTCTGAAGCAGGAAAATTTTCTATTAAGGATGGAGTAGAAATAGCAGGATTGAGTGTAGAATAGGAAGGCTGAGTGACAGGAGGATTTTCTATGTCCAGCTTAGGTCTGGACTTAGCAGGGCTACTTGTGGTGGGAGACAGGGGCGGAGAGGACTCACCAGGGTCTCCAGGGTATAATGTTGCTTTGAGCCTGGGGTCTGTGGTGTGCACTGGTCTCCATTCTGTCTGTAAGGCATCTGTCTGTGAGAAGCCAGCACCATCTTGACTGCAGGGGCTGAGAGCTGGGAAAAAGCTTGTCAGCTTTCCTGGCTTCCCTGGTGATCTGCGGCATCGGGGCATATTCCCTGGGGATCCAGTGGAGACCTGCGTCCCCTTATCAGCGTGGGGAGAGGTCAGTGCCGCTGCTGGGATTGGTGAGTGCCGGGGTTATTGCTGGCGGGGATGCGGAGCTCTCTTCACGGAGCTGTAATCCCAGAGCCGGCCGCGCATGCGCCCCCAAAAATATGATAAACTTTGAGAATAATTCACATAGTGAGGTGAAAATGGTGAATTTAAAGAAAACCTGAAGATGCTATTTACCCGGATATACTATATGATTCTCATGGTTTACTCCAAGCAGGAGTTGCCTGGAAGCTACAATTTGCCTCAATGATGAATCCAATTTACCAAAAAGTAATTTGGTGGTTGACTTACCAGTACACACACAGTTACAAATGTTAAATCATGTGGGCAAAGTGGTTGACATACCAGTATATACCTCTGTCAGTGCTAAAACAGGTCCTTCTAAACCTGGCTGACAACACTGCTTAGCATTTCAGATGCAACAGAGGCAGTGTTGTCAGCTCAAAGAGTAATTTATGAACTCAAAGGATTTCTGGCAGGATCAATGGGCATTTTTCTGTACAGAGAAAATTCAAGAGCCCCACCCAGTGCACAGGAGGAGTAACTACTCATATATCTACAAGTTACATTCCCCCATGTACCAGGCAGGGGCCTTGTTCTTCCACTGTGGATAGTCCATACTTGTCATCTGAAAAATGTAAAGAAATATTGTTAGAGCAAAATATAGAAATGATCTGTGAAATGCAAACAAGAATAGGGAATGTAACAGGACAAAATGCACGTGGTCAGTTCTGAATATCTATATAGAAAAACTGAGTATCCTGGAGTAATAAATGAAATCACCGATTGTGGTTCAGTTAAAAAGGTTACAAAAATGTTTTAAAAGGTTCCGCCAAGAGGTTATATGGCAGATTGTGGTTGTGTAAATTACAAACTATCCACAGAGTAGACAAATCTAGTCAAAAAGACAAAATAAAAATGGATAGAGACATACAGCAACCAAAAAGCAACCATCCTTCACTGATCTGACTGCTCTAGATTCATAAATAAAATGAATGACGAAGGCTCTCTCTAAATGTACTATAAATGGTCTTGGCAATGCCATAATAAAATACTAACAATTTCAAATATTTTACCGCAAACTTCAAATATCATATCCAACAATAGTCCTGTTATTACCATTGTTAGCTAGAAGGACTTTAGTATCGGCCCCTTTGATTCAAGCTTCACTTTAAACTTCTGAACTACAAGGCCTAACCCAACCCCTTTGTGAGTTACTAACAAGAGTTCTATCACTGACGTACCCCCCCCCCCCCCAAACCATCTGAGATGAAAGTGAAGGCTGCATAATGCAAGTATGTAGGTATAGACTGCACCCTGCCATTCTTACAAAAATGTAGAGTTGGGATGAAAAGTTTAGTGTGTTACAACATTCTTGGTAGATTGGTAATACATTTTATAGAGATCTGCAGATCAGAAGAGGTACAGAGAGCCTCTAAAAGAATATAATCCCTCTATAGGAAGATAAGGTGGCGGCTATTTATTGACTGAAACTGGATTGCTTTAGTATCAAAGCAAAATCAGTGATGGATATTGTGGTGGAAAAAGTGATGACTTAGTGCTGAACTGCTAGTGTGACATGGCCCTAAAAGATTAAATTGTGAATTGAGAAAGGCACATACCTGGGGAAGTTGGCCATATGTGATGTTCTTTCAGACGCACCATCACTCATGATTCTTCTTCATCCAATGTTTACCTCTGCACCAACAAGTAAGGAGAACTCATCATCGAATATGATCAGTGCTTCTTCCATGTCATCCTTCTGGGGCAATGGAGTCATCTCAGACTGAGATACAGAAGTGTCTGTGGTCAAAAAGTAAGACAAGGACATGTTAGTAACACTACGCTGTGAGGTGTTCAGGTGAGAAATGGAGGTTACCTCAGATTGTACAGAGCTGCTTTTGATGGATCCTCATCTTCTTGTCCTGTGGTTGCATCTGGGATTTCTTCCTTCCAGCTTTCGTTCATGTATTTCAGGATTTCTGTAGATTTACTTCTTTTAGAAAAGTCAATGGCCAAAAGATCACCAAACATCCTTCTTATTCCAGTTGAAATCTTTCTCCATGTTCAGGAGGATTGTCCATATGAAAATTGTTTTGCCAGTCAACAAAACCTCTATATCCTTCATCTTCAGGCATGGCCACCTGCCACGGATACTCCCCTAGAAGTAGGCAGTAGATGGTAACACCAAACGCCCACACATCAAGGCAGTCATCTACAACCAGTCCATCCGTAATGGTCATGTCACGTAGTTCTGGGGCCATGTAGGTTTTGCTACCACACCTGGATGTTATCACTGTCCCTCTGACCTTCGCAAGGCCAAAGTCTGTGATCTTGATGAAGTGACAGTCCTGGTCAAACACCAAAATGTTTTCTGGCTTCAAATCCATATGCACCAGTCCTTTCTCGGATATGAATTCGAGAGCATTGGAGATCTGAAGAGCACACCTCTTAACTGAGTCTTCTGGAATTCCCACCTAGGAAAACAAAATCAAAATACAATAGTTGTTAAATACAGTAAGATAGAATATAAAGAGTAATTCAGAATCAGTTAAAGTATAAGCATGGCCATCACTTTTGATCTAGTTTTAGACTAGGAGTGGAGTCTATTGCCGTTTGTTTTCCCCCCAAAAGAGATTCTCTTTTTATAAATGTTCCGGCAATCTCCATCATTAAGACAAAGTGATGGTCATTATTAGTTTTAACTCTCGCTTATACAAAACTTTAAAAAAAAGGGCATACTGAAACCTTAATGTACTTACGTATGGTGTAATCATGGAGAAGAGATCACCAACAGGGGCTAGTTCCTGGGCAAACACAAAGTAGTCGATGGTGGTGAAGGCGATGCCATTACATCCAATGATATTGGGATGAGATGAAAGAAAGTATGAAACGCAGAACTCCTGGAGGAAAGACCGCTGGCTGTTCTGTTTTTATCCATGGTCTTCAATGCCATTCTTTGACCTGTAGAAAAAAATAATTTAACTTTGATTAAGAAATGGAAATTTTTAGCTGATCATTTTTTCTATCCACTTGAAAATCTCAATATTCGAGCAACGGATTTTTATTAAAATGTTTGAGAATGTATTATGCTTCATTCATAGCTAAATTTCAGCCATCAATCAGCTGTACAAGAACCTTTCCTGGGCTGAAATGTCCTACTCTGATTTCACTGAACACAGCGATAGTCTCTCATTGTGCATCGGAAGCTTCAGCAAGTCATACAGATCCCATCTCGTTTCCTGGCTGGAGGACGTCCAGCATTGTTAGCATCAATATCCTTCCCAGCCTGACTATTCCTGGCCTGCCCCTTTCATTCATTATATGTCTGTCCTTTTAATCATGGAGGCTCAGCATCACATGTGATCATTATCTAGAACAGTCTGCATGGAAATACAGTCCACTGCTCCAGACAGATATGTACCCATCAAGGCATTTTAATATTTGCATAACTGCTCCCAAGAATCAGCCCAATGCTTAGTTCCCTAAATCATTCTACCAACATGAAAAAATATTTAAACATGATATATTTATGGAGATTTAATAAATATAAAGTCTATAGTGTACAAATGTACAAAAACATATACATAAATATTTGCAGAGGATACTGAAACGTTACTTAGAATAGTTTCACTGACCTGTTATCTTGTCCTTTGCCAATAAAACTCTTCCATATCCACCTTCTCCAAGTTCCTTCATAAATGGTGAAGTACTCCTGTAAGTCTACCTGCTTTATTTCTTGTGAATAGAAGGAGACCATTCTATTCAGAAATCCTTCAACACCATGAGTAATGGAGGCCATAGTGTCCTGGAGAGCGAAAAAAGAAGAACTTGTTGAATTATTAAGAAGAAAACAAATTGTTTTAGAAAAACTATAGAAATGTTTCAAATATGAATACTATTTACCCACATTGATATACCATTATATATATATTATATATATATATATATATATATATATTTATAATATATATAATATATATATATGATTTATATGCTCCCTAAAGCTTCACATCTTATTGAATGGGGCTCGGGAATAAGTTTCAGTTATTAAAGTAAGAGTTTGAAACACAACAATAGAAATTTATGGAGTATAGTTAAATGAGCTGAATATGGAAAGCCAGCAATCCTTATATAAGAAAAATTATCAAGTGAGGTTATAACTTTATCAAGTGCAAAAACAAATGGAAAAGCCAAGACATAGCAACACATAAATATATCCAATAGCTATAAGTGCAGTTGTGGGGGCGTGGTCTGCCGCGGCTGGATGATGGCCGCTTAGAGTGAGAGCTCCCGCCGGCCGGATCCCTCTACACCGCCTTACGGAGGAGCGGGGTGAGTGAGTGCTGTTCTCACTATGGGGAAGTCGGACCGGACATCAGCCGGTGCCCGATCACGATCCCCACGG